GAGTCAGCGGCGCGCTGGTCCAGTGGGAGGAGCTCCAGGTGGGGTCCTAATTTAGCTGACTTAGAGGTGCCTGCCCGATAATTACAACCCCACCTGGAGCTCCTCTCGTCTGACCAGCGCGCCGCTGACACATCCCTGCTCCCCTTAGGACCCGGAGACTGCCAGATGACCCCGCTCGGAGCGCCGCCCACCGGAGCAGCAGTGACTCGACGCTCGGCGAGGTAAGTAAGAAGACACCACTGACGCTGACTCGAGTATAAGCCGAAGGGGGCACTTTTCACCAAAAAAATGGGCTGAAAATCTCGGCTTATACTCGAGTATATACGGTATAACTTTTCTGTCAGACTAGTATGTTTTGCAGAACTCTAGTAAAAACAACAAGAGAAAAGTGAAAAGCCCATTAAAAGAAAACAAAACTGCCCTATTCCACTTCAACCGCAGTACTTTTCAGAGGTCCTCAGTAGGACTGCAACTAATGATTATTTTCATAATTGATTAGCTGGCTGATTATTTTTTCAATTAATCAGATTAAAAAAAATTACATTCCATCTTTTATTTAAAATAAAATGCATAAATAGAGTGTTGCAAACATAAAGTTTAATTCACAATAAAACTGCATGCACAATTTTTTGCAAACGTACTGCACTGGAACACACAGCATTTTCTAAATAGACCCCTGATATTTCCCCTTTACACGGAGTCCTAAATCTCTTTTTCTGCAGCCCTAACACGCAATGAACAGGAAACACTTTGTATAGAGGTTTCCTCTTCATTCATAAATCAAGATAGTATCTGTTTACTATGTCCACAATCATGAATGAACAGGAAGTGATGTTATTATGTTATACAAGACTTTGTAACATTTTTGTTCCTATGTGGGTCACAGCTAGACACAGTGTTTCTTCACCTGCAGGTCATGGCCCTGTCATTCAAGAGGCAAGAGCCAAAATTCGGGAGTATATTACTCACAGACAGGCTCGAGAACAGCAAATTCTTCAGGTTTTAAAGGAGAACTCTGGGAAATCACTAACTGCCATGGAGCTTGTTAAAATTGTATACAAGGTAAGGCGACGGAAGAAGAGCTCTTCTACAGGGGGAAAGGGCTTCCTTTATTCATGGTGTGGTTAAATTACTGTCACAGTTTTATGGTATATTCTAACCAAGCATTATGCACATTTATGAGTGATGTTTCATTTCAGCTCATTAAAATACACTGCCTGGGCAAACAAAGTCACCACCAGAATTTTAACTAAGCAAACAGATCAGAGCCTTCCACAGGATAATAGGTCTAGGTTCAGCAATGCTGTGTGCCAAAAAATGAGGTCAGCTGCCTACCTGAATATACTGAATGACCAGGTTTTTCCATCCAATGGATTTTTTCTTCCTTGATGGCACAATGGGCATATTCCAAGATGACAATGCCAGGATTTTTTTGGCCCAAATTGTGAAAGAATGGTTCAGGGAGCATGAGACATAATTTTCACACCTGGATTGGCCACCACAGAATACAGACCATTGAGAATCTTTGGGATGTGCTGGAGAAGACTACGCAGTGGTCCGATTCTCCCATCATCACTACAAGATCTTGGTGAAAAATGAATGTTACTCTGGATGGAAATAAATGTGACATTGCATAACCTTATTGAAATGATGCACAGCGAATGCATGCCGTAATCAAAGCTACAGGCAGCTCCAACTAAATATTAGTGTGTGTGAATTATTTTGTGTGTTATAGCACTGAGGGGTACATTCACTGCCATTGTTTTATGTACTAATCTAATGGTCTCCAGTATATTTAAAGGAAACCTGTAATGAGAGAAATATGGAGGCTGCTATTGCTGACCTTCTTCTGAAAATGCTTCTTCCTTGGCTTTCTCTGGCTTCAGTAGTTTTGAGTGTCACCTAAAGCAAGCATGCATCAAGCAAAGGGAGCGTGAAGTTAGAACTCCTGAGCTGCATGGCTGTTGTTTTGTAGCGATTTAGAAAGAATTTAAAAGAGTTCACCTTTTTACAAATAATGAAAAGGTGAACTAAGTCATAACACCCATGTAACTGTGCTGTCCCACAAAAAAGAAGTTTCTCATTGGTCAGTGCAGTCATGTGGCCAATGACTACTTGAAAATGGAAGCATTATGATGCTATGCAGTTTCCGTAGCTGTGTAGTGAAGTCTTGAAGTGGGCAGCCCATTACAGCAACTAGTGTGGGTGGCAAATGATCTCATCTAAGCAACTAAGTGCAGCGAGGATCAGGGGAGGGAAAAGGTTTTGAGTGAAAAGATGAGCTAACCTTTTAAGACACTGGATAAGTATGATGGTAAAAGGCAAAATAGCATTTTCATAAGGAAAGGTTAGTAATGGCAGCCTCCATATTTGCTCAGTACATGTTTCCTTTAACCCCCAACGCTTCCTTGGTACTTATACTCAACATACGGTTTCCTTTTTTCTATTTTTTTAATAGGCCTTCCTTGTTGTCGGTAGATGTATGCACCAGCTCAGTGAAGCCACTAGAGGGCTCAATCTGCTTGTGTTTGTACAGAACCATTCCTTGTAGTGCTTGTCATATCTTTTCTGATACTATGGTGTTCTGTGCCTTTGTAAGAAAATGAGTAACATTTTAGTTAACATTTTCCCCCCAGGACACTCCAGAATATTTACACGCAGCTGCAGAAGTCAACCTTACTCATCATTTACAGAAACTGAAGCGAGAAGGAGAAATAGGTGAGTATAATATGTGCCTAATATGGGAAAAGTTATTGTTTGACTTTTAAACTGGCCAAACACTAGAAATATTTTTCGTTCAGTCCGTAGGCTGACAAAATCGGATTGATTTTCCCCCTCCAGGCAATTGTATTCTGACAGAATAGTGACTTAAGCTGATTGGCTTTAGTCACTGTTTGCCCAAGAATTTTCTGACCAGCTCCTTCAACAATTGAAACACCCACTATTTTCTATGATCGTCTTCACCATCTAGAAGGCGTAATGCATTATTTTCAGACACCATCCAATATTCTAATTACATTTCCTCTATGGTGCTGTATATTACAGAGTTCTCAATAATGGTCATGTGTTTCATTGCAGTACAAGAAGAGGGTCCTTCTGTCCAGTGGAAAAGTAACTTGTAACTGTGAATTGAGGAAACCTTGTTTAATCTGAATGAGAAATCCAGTGCTTGGGGTGATCAACGATTACTGAATAAGATACCTTGTGGAATATCACTGCAGAACTGTCTCACCCGGCTCCGGATCATGACCCTTGTAGCTGTTACTTTTATCACTTGCAGATTTTTTTAACTTGGGGTGTAATAATTTAATTAGCATTTTTTAATTAATTTTGAAAATCACATTTCATGAAGAGCCATTCACCCGATAAGTTCCTACTACTTATAACGCTTTCTATGGGGTGTACATTTTGTTCTTCTATCTTCATTGGTTGGCCACTCCCATTTAAAATTACTGATCAAATTAAGCATTTTGCAGCATCTGACACTGTTCATTTGTTTTGTCATGTAGACAGTAAAAGTAATTTCAAGTTTACAACTGTGGCCTTGCAGTGCGGGTATTCTATGTTTGCTTCCAACCAGGCAATGATGAGCATGATGTTGCTGCCTGTCAGTAGTATCACTATGCCCTTTCACTAAATAGCACATCACCATGCAGCTTTGCATGCTGATTTAAAATCATCTTACATTCATTAGTTAGACAAACATGTTTTTCATTTACTTCCTGGTCCACTTCTGGCACAAATGATATAATGTGCCAAAGTGCTGCATCCTGGGGAGGTTACATCAGCAGAGCGTTGGTGGTAAATCTCATTTGTAATCTCACGAGATCTCAGGGAAAGGCATTGTCCTCCCCTGAGATGATGTGCATGGCCACATGTTCTATTCACATGTGCCAGAGTTCCAGGAAGTAAAGGGAGATGTAGTAATCTGCCCTTAGTAAAAATGGGCACTGTAAGAAGACTGAGGGAGAAAAGAGAAACAAGGTGTGCAAGGAATACAAAGCCGGCAATTATCTAGAAGTATGTGTTTGTAGATTGTTATTACTAAACATTTCTAAAGGTGTGTTTTGTTGTTATTTTAAGATATGGGTAAAGGTCTACTTTCAGTTTTAAATTAAGAATTATCACTACAAAATCCCCAGGGGATACAGTGCATGTAGCACATTATTTATGTTTGTGTTGGATGTAGCTATACCCCAGGCTGAAGCCCAGACTATGGGCAATCCTGTGGGGGAGTTACAGCCAGCACTGAAATCCCACCCCCACCCTAATGTATCCTGTGTGTTTCCTATTCAGATTAATGTGCCTATGATCAAGTAAGCCACAACAATAGGATTGCTCTGGATTACATGGTTACAGGCACATTAGTCAGTCCCCCCGTGCAAGAAGTACTGTGCAGATTAGTGGACTGTACTTTTCTTGTGTACTGTGTAGACACGGATCTTGTTCTGGCCCCACCACTCTCTCTCCTGCTAGGTCTTCTGGCCAGGGGCCCCACCTCTAGTTCTGACGTCACTCCCCTCTGCTTTTCCTGGTGGCTGCAGGGGAATGAGCAATGTTGTGAGTCCCAGCACTGCTCATTCACATTTTTCTTACATGAAGGTGCACTGTGTGGGAGCTCAAAGGGTGCATACACAGGAGCCGTTGTGCTGACAGGTTCCCTTTCCCCTGCCATAGTTAATGACAGTGGTCGTCTCCAGAGCGTCCCTGCTGCCAGAGACAAGTGATGTCACTCACACTATCCACCCCTTTGCTAGCAGCATTGTCTGAAATCTGTGGAGGTGGAAGCTGTCCAACCATGTTGCCAACGACAGCATAGATCGGATTTTTATTATGCTTAATAAATTGAACTTTTATTCTGAAATTGCTATGGTTGCCATTCTGGTTTGCTGAAATAAACTTACAGGGTGGAATTTATCAAAACTCTTCAGTTTGTTCAGTTAAGATTTGAACATGAAGAGGAGAAGCTGATTGTCAGGCACAGCTGCTCCAGATTCTGTCGGCTCCAGGTTTGATAGGTTCCCTTCACAGTATATCGAGAGCAAAAGATATGCATACATACATATATAAAATGTACTTTAGTGATGTAATAAGTCATAACTAAAGATGAGCGCGAAGGTCCTGCAGGATTCGGGATTTGACAAAGCTTGAGTAAGTTGCAGCTGTATGTATCTGCAGCAAGTGTGCATTTTGTTTTTTAAAAAGCTGCACTCCTGGCAAACTGCTAAAAAAACAAAAAACACATTTGGAATACATATACTGTATGTGTACTCTTTTACTACCCATAGGATTTGTAGTTTTGCTTAAAGGAGAATTATGAGGCGAGTGATTTTCACTCAGCCTCATAATCTGAGCCGACCTGAGACAATGAAACTGTCACAGGTCAGCTCAGATCGGGAAGTGAGCGAACACATACCGGCGCTTGCTCACTTCTCGATCTATCCCTGCAGCCGTAATCTATTTATCACTTCTCGATCTATCCCTGCAGGGATTCCCCCCCTCCCCTGTTCGATCCTCCAGAGCTGACTGGCGGAACGGATGGGGGAGGGGGCGGGCACAGCTGCTTCTGCATCTGGATAGGCAATCCCGCAGCTGGGTGGATCTCGACAGCAATGTCGGGATCCATTCCTGCTGCTGCGTTTCAGTATACCGCGAGCTGTAGCTCGCGGTATACTGAGCTTTGGGTCACGGGAGAACGCTAGTTTGTGTCCTCCCGTGACCCTTAGGAGAACTATGGGGAAAAGCCCTGACCCCATAGTTCACCTTTAACTAGCCTTGTTAAACCAGACTCTGTTGCCGGAAAGCTCAGCCAGGTTTAGCATACCCTAGTCTCCTCCTCGTACATTTGTATTGAGGTTGATCAGAAGCCCAGTCTAAGACCAGCCAATCACATAGCAGCAACACATTTAAAAGTTCATCATACTGATCCCACCTCTTGTCAGTGTTAGGTGAACAACACCATGCAGTCAAGTAGAGCATGATTGGATACTGCTGCTGTTACTCCCTCTCAGAGTATAAGTGCAGTGCAGGGGATTACATGAGGCTGTCAAGTCAGCTTAAGGCACTTTTACAGCATTATGTAACACATTTTATTTGTAATGAATCTATAAATTAATTAAATAAGGGGTTTAATATCTGCCTGGAATTTAGCTTTAAATCTTTGTTTTGTTTTTTTTTTTGTCAATTTAGATATTGTATAGAGTGGTTAAAACTCGTGTAAGTTTTTTGTGCAAACTGCATCTCTTTCCAAAATGTTTACTTCCCATCTTGTAGATATAGCAGAAGGTTAAGGGAAATTAAACCCAAAGTAAGGGAAATCCTCTCTATGTTGTGACTTGAACAGGTGGAGGTTACCCCCTAATCCTGGTCTGGTGCCAAGTGAAATGTTTTGATTTCTCCTCCATTTCTGTTCTAGTGACAATGGTTACCAGGACAAAATACATCTTGCCAGTAGGGATGCATACAGCAGGAGTTCTAGCCCTTCTCCATTCCATCCCAAAAATGTTTTAAAACTTTGCGGCTTGAAATACACTCTCAACATTTTTTTTAAAAAGCGTGCCTTCCACACAAAAATACTCGCTTGGCACAACAGGCATACAGTCTGGTCTACCCATAGCAAGAGGGCTGCGTGAAGGGTATAAGGGCTGACATTAACATTTAGGGGTGCCGGACAGTCATTACCTTTTTACTACCGTAACAACAACCCCGACACATCATCAGGGTCTTGTCTTGAAGGGGGATCCACTTAAGGAGGACCTTCACCCACTTTTTATTAAATGACTACTTCCCCCCTCTTTTCACACAATCACAGCTAATTTCTTTTTGCTTGTAAATACCTTTTTTCAGTAAGTGGTCCTGCACGTCCAGATTTCTCATCTAGGTGAGAATGACATCCCCCAGCTACCCGCAGCCTGCTGGGATACTCACATCACCCATCAGGAAGCTTAGGGGCAATTATACATGTGCGCCACTGTGCGTCATCACGGGGTGGGTTGCAACAACAAGGAAGTGACAGCCGGCCCCCTGGTAAAAGATGAGAGGAAGATGACAGCGTGGGACCGGGTGAGCAGTAGTAGAGTAGTAGATTGTAACAGAACAATGCTGGAGAGTATGTTCATAAAATATAACCAAGAAAAAATGGTAAGATAGGACTGAAAACAAAAAATAAGAGCATTGGATCATAACATTGTGAACTGGATTGCAGGAGCATATAGGTCAAAGTAATGGTGACGTGTATTTATCTGCTTATTTCTACGATTTACCCACACTTTACTAATGTTCAGTGTTGTTTTTGGTGGGGGAGGGGTCACACAACTTAAGAGGAACATAAAACTTTTTAAGATTAGAAACGCTGTCCTTTTTCTTGAAGGAGAAATAACCACCTTGAAACTGTCATGATGACTCTTATCTTAATACAACATGCATAAGTAAACATGGCACAGATCTATAAGAGATAAAGATGTGTAAGAAAGGAAAATGGACCCTTGCTACTATGGACGTTTGCAACCAGAGTGATACTACATTAAAGGCTAAGTTCACCTTTCTGACCATATTCCATGTTACACACATATTTGGGATGGAACAGCTTTGGTGTATTTTCTCATTTACAGCAGCTGTGCGGGCAAGCAGAATCATGGAGTTCTCCCCACAGGATTCGGTAATTTGGAGCGGCTGTGCATGGCCTCATTCATTCACAGAACTACAAACCCGTCTGCCAGTGCAGAAGAGGGACTCATAGTTCTCAGTGGAGTACAAGTACAGTAACGTTATCACACTTGTAGTTCAAAGATGACTCCATAACCGAAGGTCTAAACCTCTGGGCTGGAGGAACAGTCAGCAGGAGCCTGTGAATTGCACCCACAATTACAATGCTTAGCAGGCTCCAAGGCAAAAAAAATTAATGAAAGCTCTTTTTTTTTTGCATTATGGGTCCATTTATTAATTAATTTTTGTTTAAGTGGAAGTTGCCTTTAAGAAAGTTATTCTAATAAGGCAGAGGCTGTGAAAACTGGAGATGCTGTAACAAAAGCTTTCTGAAGCTGGCCATACACCTATAAATTATCTGCACATTTTCTATGGTCAGATGGAAAAAGTGCAACAGATTCCTCCCTCTACACTAAACTGTGTGGATGGAGGAATCTCCCACTGGGCTAAGCTTCAGTATCTTGCAAGACGGCCCCGCTGGCTGTCACATTACCGGAACAATGCCTGCATCCAATCAGATTGTTCAGGTA